TGGGAAGAAGTTTCGCAACAATGTCGCTGACACTGTCCTCCCGGCCTTGCTCTTTCGAGTAGGGACGAATCGTCTTCTGGCCAGCGGTGTCCGTCCTAGCTGCCAGGTTCTCCTCGCTGTGCCCATCGTATCTCATGATGTATATATGGAACTGCATCCGGCGAGCGGCGGGACCATGCCACCTGCAAGTCCGACGCATGGCACACAACAAAGTCAATGACAGACCTGATCATTGGTGCTGTCAATGGCTTTGCGTGCCATACGTCACGATGGAGTTTTCTTGCCGCTGCCGTACCACCACTGGACGTGCTACTGCCTCTCCACACCCACCGCACCTGCCGTCGATACCGTGTTCAACGTTGTAGGTATAGACTTTCATCCCGTGACCGGCTTCCTAGCGCGCTATCCTCTACCTGCCCGTCCCTGTGGCTCCCCCTTCGCGAAATCCCTGTTGACGACCTCTACGTCACTCTCCTACATCACTAACGTCTGTTGTCACTGCGGTCCCCTCAACCCATTGGACTAGACGTCGACACCCTGTTCGACGTTGTAGGTATAGAATTTCGTCCCGCGACCGGTCTTGGAGCATGCTATCCACTGCCTGCCTGTCCCCGTTGCCCCCCCTTCGTGAAGTCCCTGTTGACGACCTCTACGTCACCCTCCCACATCACCAATGTCTCAGTCGTCAACGCAATCTTCACACCCGCTGCATCTGACATCGACACCCTGTTTGACTTTGTGGGTATGGAATTTCATCCCGCGACCGGCCTCCGAGTGCGCTATCCTCTACCCGCATGTCACCCTGGCTCCCCGTCCGCGCAGTCTCTATGGATGTTAGCATGTCGCACACACTTGTTCACATCACCAGCACCGTGGCCCTTGCCGGAGTCTCGCTCGTCTAGCCGTAACCTGTGTCAGCATCGAGGATGCAACGTCTCAGTCGTCAACGTGGTCTTCACACCCGCTGCATCCGACGTCGCCACCCTGTTCGACTTTGTGGGTATAGAATATCGTCCCGCAACCGGTGTTGGAGCACAGTGTCTTCCGCTCGCATGTCCCCGTCTCTGCGCCATTGCAAAGTCGCTATCGACCTCTACGTGTCCCGTACAGTGGTCCACGTCACCAATGCCATAGCCATCGCCGGGGTCTCGCTCATCTCAATATCGACCACGGCCCATGCCTTGGGTTCTCGCGCTCACTGACGTGGCATCTGGTGATCACCCTCTTCAATGACGTGATGCTGGATCTCGACGCTCTCGTCACCGTCCTGTCTCGGTGATCAGGCCCCCGTTTATGGCCGTCTCCCGCGTTCTCCCGTGGGCTCTGTCAATTCAAGAGGGAAGGTAGCCTGAGTCGATGTCACGGGCTGGGTTGAGCTTGAGAGACGAGTGACGGTACCATGGAGTGAGTGCTATTCCGTCATCTTGCTCTCACTCATGTCTAACCCGGCTTTCTATTTTACTCAAGCGGTGTGGTGACCGTCGGCAGCTCTCCCAGGCTCATGGACCATGCGCCCTTATGATGACTGCCTTGGGACCTTCCGAGGTCACTCACTGCCAGTCCCATCAAGACACAACTGACGGTGGAGTGACTATGGGTCAAGATAAGCCAGTGAGACACTCTAAATTCTTGGTGAGTGCTTTTCCGTGTGTTCCATCCGCATGTCTAACCCACTTGTGAAGGTCAGCATGAATAATATTGCACCGGCATATCAAGTGGAAGTCACGACACTTGCATGGACGCCAACCTCCCACTCGCGACGACCTGGAGGTAAGGTCACGCCTGTTCCGCGCCCATCCGTAAAGTAGAGTAGTCACGCTTGTACGGTGCACAAATACACAAGGGCAAGCCCCTTTTTCCAAAATCCACGAGACCCCACATAGGGGGAGACTATGCTCGAGCGAACCACGAAAAACGGCGTCGGACTTGCAACATCCTCAACACCCTAACCCTGCCATCTCCCTCCTCATTGGCTCCCTATGTTTTCCGGCGCCGCATAAGGGAATGGTCTTGACGCGCGCGTGCTCTAAATACATTTTCCCTAACCGGAGTACGTATACACGAGAAACAGAACGATGTTATACAGCAGCGAGGGACAACGACACCCACCCACCCTACACCTTCCCCTGCGCCCGCAAATTCCGCAACTCCACGAGCTCAAACTCCGTCAGCGCGTACGTGCTCGAAACCACGATATTCGTCCCGCGGCTCGCCGTCCCGTACGCACTCCGCCCGCCGGACACGAACGACGGCTGCGTGAGGTGCTGCTGCTGCTGCTGCTGCGACGCGGTCGACACCTCCAGCTCGTGGTGCACGTCGCGGATGTTCAGGCACAGCCGGCTGCCCATCACGCACGACATCGTCACCGCAAACCCGATCCCGGACTCGAGCACGCCGACCTGGGGGGTGTTAGTGGTGAGCAGAGAAGGGCGGAAGGCGGGACGCACGTTGCCAGTGAGGAATATGACGAGGTTGGTAAAGTACGTCGCGAACATACTAAACACCGTCAGGCCAGATTCCGAGCAGAAGAGAACGCGCGCACATGAGGTAATAAATCACCGAGTCCCGGATCAATATCTTCACGATGTGCCGCCCGCTCTGGAAGAGGCTCGTGCGGCTGCGAAAGTCCTTGAACGCGCGGAACAACGCGAGCGCGCAGAGCAGGCTCTCGAAGCCGAGCGTCGGGATCCAGAACGTGTAGAACCACGAGGGCACGTTCACGGGGATGCAGAACGGCAGGCCCGGGATCAGGCCCGAGTGCGCTGGGCCGGCGTTGGACGGGGCGCGGAGAGGACGCGCGGAGGAGACGCACCTGATATACGCGCGAGCACCATGCCCATGATCACGGCCGCTGTGCCCGCTGAGACCAGGAACGCCCCGCACATGAGCACCAGCACGCGTCGGTTGAGGTGGTACAGTGCATATAGTCGCAGTTGGAGGATGACTGGCCGGGTCGAGTTAGAGGTTTAGGGGAGAAACGACGAGAGACTTACTTTCGGCAATCATGGACACTAGCAAACCTGTTGTGCCTTGCCATCGAAACCATGTAACGCCTGCACGCCACGTTAGACGTGCGTCTACGCCAGGAGTGCGAATACATACAGCTATTTGCGGCGAGGGAAGGGCGAAAGTTGTAAGAATGAACCTGAGAAACATCTTTGATACGAAGGCACGTACAACTGCATATCACGGATTAGAACACTTCTGACATGAGATTGAATGATGTCATACCGAGTCGGAGAGATGTGTGGTGAAAAGAACTGGTCCGGAGCCGCATATCAGCGGAACCTTCGGTCCAAGTCAGGGAAGACGCGTACCGTAGTTGTTGAATCTGCATCACGGACCCGCACGTGTCAGGAACTGTGCTTGGCGAGCGAGTGGATGCGGCACTCACATTACACTTGCAAGAACGTAATAGCGGTTCTATCATGCAATAGTGTCAGCCACAGCAAGTGAGAAATTATGGGGAGTAATGAGATGTCCAGTACTGGGACGGAGCGCGATGGTAAATACGAGCACCGTGCGTGGGCGGGAAACCGAAGAAGCAACAATGTCCTCTTCAATTCGTACCTCGGGCCAGCAGAGGGAGGGACGTCAGTGAGCCGCACGTATGGAGTACAGCGCGATGACGAAGCCACGGAAACAGGTGCTCTTGAGACGCAACCAATACCGAAGCACTACCCAGCTCGAGAAAGGTACGGAGGATGCAGCGAGCGGGCACGAGGAAACTAGTCGTCGAGGCAGGGAAATTAGAGACTGCAGCCCATGCTGAGCAGAAAGGAATGAGACACGGGCGAGATATGTACCGAGCATCCTCGTAGGGCCTCTGGGAGGGTCCGAAGTAATAAGAGACAACAGCGCATATACTCACCGTTAAGAACAATACTTTTCCGGGTGTCCATGAAGCCTTCTGAAGATGGGGAGATGGAGTTCAGATGGTGAGAGTGGATGGTACGCAAGGCGAGCGCACCCATGTTAGGTCTATCTGAGATGCACCGTCAGTCTCGCGGAGAGGCAAGCTAGGGGTAGCTCACCTCCTGGTCCAATGTGATCACTGCGGGGACATACTTGAGTAGCGTTCTGCGAAAGGGATAGCGTCACTCACAATGGTCGTAGATGACGATAGTGCTTGACGCGACTGGGGTGACGTGAGCGGGACGCTAGCGAGCATGTCGACATATATTATGACTTACGTTCCGCGTACCGGGTCGACTGGATATCCCTAACGAACGGGGCGAACGCATCAGCGAGCAACGAGAGCGACATGGCGCGTAGGGGGAAAGAACGAGTGGGGGGACGATGCGAGCCGGGGAGAGGGAAACAAGCTCGGAGAACGACGATCGGTGGTCAGAACGCGCATACAGAACCGCGCAAACTTCTTTTCATTCTCGGACGAGGGTCTGGATTTAAACGAGTTGTGGGGATCGAAGCCTCAGCGGACCGGGGCCTGGACGGTGAATGAGCCTTGTTGCGAGGCCCGCTCCTCACTCGCTCTCTAGCATCGCTTCCCAGGCGCGCCGATCGCGCCTCGGGAAGCACGGTGGCGGTGCTATGTACTGCGAGTCGCCGGCCCGTCGACGCCCGCTCTCTTCCGCTCGTCGTCGACTCGTCCCCCTGCATCAGCCACGTCAAGCACGCCTGTCACGCGCTCGAGCTGCAATAACAGGATCGCGGGAGAGCGGGACGTGAGGCGGGGCCATGGTCAAAACATCGGGCTGCGTGCGAGTGACAGAGTCCAATCGTACGTGGCATGTCATATTTCGTTGCTTGTATCTACTGACAATATTGCGACACCACCGCCAACCCACACGTCAGCGTATCGCCGTCGCCGCCTCGCCGCCGCTCCTTTCCCGTGCTGCACGGCGCCCCATGCATGTATGCAACAGCCACCGCCACGCAAAGCCCATCGAGCGGGCTCGACATTGCTGCGTACGCCGTGCACCGTCCCTACACCCAGGGTGAGTTGCCGCCAGCATGGTTGATCGGGCACCGGCCCATCGTCTCCGCGCCGACGGGTGGCCATCGGTATTCGGCGGTCGTCCCGTATGTCGGTCCAGGCTCAGGGATGCGCGCCGATCCGCTCGCGTTGTGGTGCGGACCCTCTCCCGTGACCCGCCTCGATTCAACTTCGGCTGGGGTCCTTTTGCGGACTGCCATCGAATCCCTCGCCGTCCGCGCATTCCCTCAGACCGGACCTCCCCGCGAGGACCCATACTCGACGCCGGCGTGTGGGGTCACGAGCGACGCGCTACCGCCGCGTACGAGTCGCCGGCACGACGTGTCCGCAGGGCACGCGACGAGCTCGGGTGGCTCGCGAGAGCCCGTGGACGGTGCGGGCACGTGTACGATACTATGTATGTCACTATGTAACCTCGAGTATTTACTATGATCCTATGGATAGAGCTCAATCGCGAGCTCCATGTTCAAAGCGCCAGCAGCACGTATCAGGCCTAAGAGTCATTCGATCGCGCTAGTGTCCCTGCAATGCATACGTCAGTGACCAGTCGTAGCGGGAGGCGTGCACGTACGCGACTAGCTTATCGGGCGGGAACAGCGTCGACGCTCCTGACTAGCCCCGCGTGCCCTGCGTCGGAAGTGCCCAGGGCCGGGTCCAAGGTGTAGGGTGTAGTCATGGTCCTGCATTTATAGGATCCTAAGGATGGCGGTCAGCGGTGAGCATACGGATGCGGAGTGCGCGTACCTAATGATATCTGCAATTTGAGCGGCTGTTGTTGTAATATTCCTACTGGGGATGATATGAGTAACCACTCAATGCACACTGTGTGGACGTGACACGCTACCGGGAGTTTACACGCGGAAGCATCCGCTAGATATCTCACGTCAGCGCAGAGCAGCGGATGTGCTGCGTAACTTTCCAGCATAGTCCAGTACACGCGGAGGTTCGTGGCACTGCATCGCAATCACTCAGTCAGCAGGCGCTTACAGCGCGCAAGGGTACATACCCAACGAGCGACGTGTCACATCCAACGGGGACGACCGGGTCATTACGACTCGGGTGAGCGGGCGAGAGTATGCGGGTGTCTCTGAAGGGGGATGCGGTGGAGGGATGGAGAAAGCCACGACGGCGACTCGCAGCATATATACCACCCACACTCGACAAACCCCGAACCCCGACCCCAGACGACGGCAGCGGAATGGAATGCAACGCGATTGCCGGAAACGCCCCCGTCTTCCTTCCCTCCCTCCCTCCCTGCTCGCCATCGAGCGGCTGGAAAATTGCGCCGCGCGGGGACCTGGAAGCGGTTACGAGAGGCTGGGAGATGGGGAATCCAGGCGTTGGCGGACTCGGGGAAGCGCGCGTGCGCGCGCGTGCTTCTCCGCGCCTGTCAACCGCGGGACGCACGGGGCGACAGACTCTGACTCGCCATTCGGCGGCTTGACTGTCTAGCACTTCTGCCGCGAGAAAACGACACCCGTAGCACTGGTGAGGAGGCTCGTCACCGCCGACGGTGGCGAAGCCATACCATGCAGCCTGCGGCCGCCGAGATGACGGAAAGAATCGACTCGTTCCGCCCCCGACGAGTGGGGAAGGCTGGTGGGTGAATCCGTGGACGTACGTACCTCGCAAGGCCCGACTTCCATCCATCCCCCCGACCGGCAATGCTGCCACCCTCCCCGCCGACGGCGTCCCAGGGAAGGTCTCGCGCGGCGTATCAGCATCATCAGGGAGCCCGAGAGGATCCTTACCAGAAGCACCGATCTCAGCTTCTCCCGGCGTAGTCGGAAGGGAGACGAACGGGGACGCGGTTCAGAGTTTCGCGAAGCAGGGACGCGGAGTGGCAGGTGCCTTCTTCCGCGGGGTGTCAGCGGCGAGCGGCACGCGCCGTCCAGCTTCCATCACTGACGTCCCTGCAAGGATAACCCTCTAGACCGCGGATGCGCCAGACGTGGTACTTTCCTGCAGGATATTCGTGAATATGTACATCAAACGAGAGTCATCGCACCGCGCTGGGAGGCTAGAGAATTCCCTACACACGAGGATGGACCTTAGATAGCATCTGGCCTTACCGAGAGACGCGGCAGAGGCTGAACAATGTGAGGAGACCGATGAATCAACAAATCAACATGAACCCTTACGAGAACAATCGATCGGTGCGACTCCTGCTGTCATGTCAGACCAGCAGGAATGGAGCACTCGCCGTTGACTAGCTTCTGCGTTTCAATCAACAACGCGGGTTCACGGCACGTACCTGCTTCGCGAACTAGCAGCCGTGTGACACTACCGCCAGGTAGGAAGACGAGCTCCCTCTTGACTGCGGCGAATGCGAAGGGGAAGCCGACGCCATTACTCCTCGACGGAGCGAGTCAACGATCGGCTGCTTCCGCTTCTCATTCGTCCGCGGAAACCGCGCAAGGCGCGACAGTTCTCGGCAAGGGTAAGAGCTCCCCTCTGCCGAGTCCTGCTTCGTGTTGACCAGCCGATGCACCGACGCCGTAGGCTGACTATGATTGGTGACGAAATAGACACTCACAGCATACGAGACGGTAGGCCGAGCCTCAGGGAATTCAGTGCAGACAGTACGGAT